ACTAGAATTCAGGAGAGAGTCAGCTGCAGGTGCCACAGTGGGGCTTTGATTCTGCCACCTTTTTGGAGAAAAGAGCCACTCACCAACAGGAAAGGATTGTTTCCTCTTCCCACCAGCAATCATGGCACAGCAAGCTTTGCTGCACGGAAGGTATTGTGGTACTCTGCGTTTCAGTGTACGCGTCCGCCGAACTATACACAAGCGAGACCTGGCTGTGGTAGTGTTGCCATCTCTGCGCTGCCTTAGGCAGCTAAAAACAGACCCCGTGTATGAAACGGTTTCCAGACACTGGACGCGACAGATGTCACACGGAGATTCCTGGCCTCTGCTCGGAAAGGGGGAAGCATGCCATGCCCGGTGATCTCACAGACTTTAGAGGCCAGATTCAGAGTTGAGGAAGGCCAGGGCGGCTGTGTTCTGTAGGGCAGAGATCTGGGAATGTGAGAGCTGCACAGGAAAAGTGCTTAGAGCTTCTCCGCATTCGTGGGGGAAGGAGTGTCCGGCCTCTTATTGACATGTAAGAGTGCTTTGTACATGCTGAGCACAAATCTTTAATCACATATGTGTTTAGCAAATATTTTCTCCCAGTCTCTGGTTTGACTTTTCCTTTTCTTAATAGTGAAGAGCAAACGTTTTAATTTTGGTGAAGTCTGATTTATCACTTTTCTGAAAGTAGTATATACTTTATGTGTCCTGTCTTTGCCTAAGCTAAAGTTGCCAAGATTTTTTTCCTATATTTTCTTCTAGAATTTTTTTTTAAATAATTTTGGCTCTTTATTTAGATCTAAACTTTATTTCAAGTTGATGTTTATATATGGTGCGAGATAGAAATTGTGACTTTAACAAAAAGTGGTTATTTGATTGATCCGACACCATTTGTTGAAGACATGAGCCTTTCTCCCGTCTGAAGTACTTTAGAATGTAGACTTGAAGTATATGACAATAGCACAAGGCTGGTGGGGGAAGGACTGGACATACATGGCCTTAAGATTCTTAGAATACGCACAAAGTGGTATATACTACTTGAACTAGACTTTGATAAGGAGTATATAATGGAAAATTTGAACAGTGATTTAAAATAAAAAGACAGAAAGTTAATAAGCCAACAAAGATGGTAAAATGGAATCATAAAAAATACTTAGTCGGGACCAGCAGTTAGTGTAATGGCTATGTCACAGGACTCTCATGTAGTCGACCGCGGTTCACGTCCCAGGCCCAGCAGCTTAAACTCACACCAGGCACGTGTGCGTGCGTGCCCAAGATCCTGAGAGGAGAATGGAGGAGAAGGGATTGCGGCAGGGCCATCGCCCCGGGATTTCTCACTTTCTGTCTCTCTGTCTCTCTCTGTCTCGTGCACGTGCCCTATAGCAAAAATCCCTCCAATAAATAAATAAATAAATACCTAGTTGGTCAAAACAAAGCAGAAAAGAAGGGAAAAGGGAACAAAGAATAGGGGGACCAAATATAAAACAACAGAAAGATGGCAGGTTTAAAACCAATTATAGTAATAGTCTCATTAAACAGGGACCAGCATATAGTACAATGGCTATGTCGCTGGACTCCCATGTAGTTGAACACGGTTCGAGTCCTGGACCTGGTGGCTTACACTCATGCCAGGCACGTGTGTGTGCGTGCCCAGGATCCCGAGAGGAGAATGGAGAAGAAGGGATTGCAGCGTGGCCATCCTCCCTGGGAGGTGATTTCTCACTTTCTGTCTCTCTGTCTGTCTCTCTCTTTCTGGTGAGCGCACATGCCCTATACCAAAGCCTCTCAAAAAAAAAAAAAAATCCAGTAATTGAAGAACGAGTGGATGAATTTGAATTTTTCTAGAAGTCTCTTTGAACTCCAGGCTAGCCAAATAGTCTTCCTCTGAGCTTCCACCGTTTTCTGTGTCCCTCCACCCACTCCCACTCCAGCATTCACCACACTGAGGGGATTTTGACACTATTCACACGCATGTCTGTGCTCCGTGCTCCTGAGATGGGGATGGTCATACCTAGCCGAGCCACCCCGGCTTCCGACAGTGCTGCCACCTATGGAGCAGGGGCTCCATTAACATCCCTGCATCGACAGGTCATCTCAAGTAGGTCTGTGCTCACCTCTTTTGCTAGGGCTCAGTAAGAGTAACGTGTGGGGCCAGCAGGTGGCATAGCGGTTATGGGGCTGGACTCTCCCATGAATGACCACTGTTTGAGTCCTGGACCCAGAGGCTTGAAAATCATGTTGTGTGCATGTGCGTGCATGCCCCAAATCCCAGGAGGAGAGTGGAGGAGAAGGGGCTGAGGCATAGCCAACCCTCCACCCCCATCACTGCCCAGGAGTGAGTTCTTCCTTTCTCTCGTACTGTCTCTCTGTTTTTCATGCCCTACAGCAAAAACCTTAAAAATAATCATAACATGTGTGGGTTTAGGCTGCAGTCGGAGGGACTGGAGTGGACTGTGAGGGTAGTCAGGGCGGCAGTGCGTCTGCAGCTGTTTTGTTCTAGGTGCTGGGCCAGCGACTGGCCAGAGCAGCCCCGGGCGATAAACACTCTAGCGATGGCGACAGCCTATCCCAACTGTCCGCTGTGGTAGCTCCCAGCCACTGTGGCTGCTGGGCACTTGAAATGCGGCTGAGGTGAGCGAAGAACCGAAGTTTTAATTTTTATTTATTTATTTTTGTTGCCATAAGGCACATACACTCACTAGAGAGAGACAGAAAGAGGAAAAGTGAGAAATGACCCTGGGGGTGAGGGTGGATGGCCACACTGCAGTCCCTTTTCCTCCATTCTCCTCTTGGGATTTTGGGAACACATGTACACATACCCAGAGAGATTTTCAAGAGGCCAGACTCGGGACTACCAACCTCAGCCATGCGGGAGTCCAACACCTTAACCATCGCGCCACCCGCTGGCCCTGCAAGAAACTACACTTTAAATTGGATGTCATCGCAGTTGAAGTAGCTGCATGTGACTAGGGGTTCCCATGGCGGACGGCACAGCACTGGGGCTATTCTCATCCTCTGTACCCGGGTAACCTGGGTCTCGTCCTCGGGGGACGTCCCTGGGCCACGCTGGTTGGCAGGACAGGCATCCCCATCTGTTGAACGGAGAGGTGCAGACGGGGAGGGGTGCTGAGCCCTGAGCAGCTGGCTCTGCTCCAGGCAGCGCCCGTTCTCCGCCTCCCCCAGGACCTGGCACGTGGCACTGCCTTGGACACTTGGCACAAGCAGCCCTTGTGCCTGCCAGCTCCCCAGCCTGCCTCCCTCCGCTCTAATTAACTCAGCAGCAGCAACTCTGCTTCCCTCTGCCAAGTCAGGAGGCACACCCTGGCATGCGAGCAGCTCCCCGGCCTGGCACCCCCTCCCTGGGCAGCTCCCCGGCCACCTCCCTCTTTACTCCCAAGAACCTCAGGTCCCAGGCACTGGCTTGCTGGGTGACAGCCTGGTTCTGGGTTAAGCCATGAGTTGAATCATGGCTGACTGAGGCCGGAGCCTATCTCCATCCGGGGACAGCCTGGGTCAGCTCAGGGGGCGGGCCGAGCGGAGGGGGCGGGGAATGCCCCCACACCCCTCCTTCCTCTCTCTGCTCTGCGTGTGATGGGCACAGTCAGGGCGGCCGGTGCTCCTCTCCGACTAAGGGGGCCTGCTGCCAGCTACACCTCGCACAGGGCAGGGCTCATGGAGGCACTGGCTGACACGCAGTTTCTAGGCCCGAGCCCTGCTATGGCAACCCTGGAATCTGGAGCAGAGCCCAGGAACTGCATGTTTAACAACACCCGGGGGCCTGGGCTGGCCACCCGGACTCTCAGCTAGGCAGTGGCCAGGCTCAGCCAGGCTCCCCCAGGCACTGTGGGGCAATGCGAGCCCAGGGTAGCCAGCTGGAAGTTTAAGAAGAAGACACTCGGGGCTCCCTCCCGTTTCCTGCACCTCAGCCAGGACCAAGACTCCTGAGGCAGAGGAGGAGTCAAGGCCCTGCCTCCAACCTGCAGGGTCCAGGAGGAGGAGTCGCGGCCTGCCCCTAACCTGCGGGGTCCCACCAGCCCTGGAGGAGAAGTCACTGCCCTGCCCCTAACCTGCGGGTCCGGGTCGGGTCCGAGGAGGAGTCGCGGCCTGCCCCTAACCTGCGGGGGCCAGGC